GTTTTCTGGTAGTTTATTTGAGATAGGAGTCTCACAGTCTCTCCTGCCCGGGCTGGCTTTGAACCGCGATCCTCAGATCTCAGCCTCCTGAGTAGCTAGGATTACAGGCGTGAGCCACCAGCGCCCGGCTTAATCAACAGAATTTGAAATTCAAATTGTTAAAAAAAATCTTAAGCATTGGAGGCTTTGTTATTTTTTTTTAGAACAAGGGTGATACCATGGTGTAGAAGAAATATCACAACACATGCAATAATTCTCTAATTATTTTAGGACAATCCTTCCTTCCCAGTAAAAGAAAAATCATCCTAGTCAGCACCATTACAATTCACAGTGCAACAGAGGCCCTCATAAAAACAGTTAAGTTTCATTTATGTGCAGAAGGTTCTGTGAGATCTCAGGTAATTTGTACAAAAAGGAGTAAACAAGGGGCTAGGGATACAGCTTAGTTATAGATCCCTTGTAGATCTCATGCCCAAAGCCCCGACTTTTCCATAACTAATCGTCTAATGGTACTTTCTATTTTATCACAAGCAAGATAATCTATTGGAGGTCTCATCATGTCACATTATCATCACAAAGATTTTCATGTGAAAAGTAACTAAGGGCTAGGGTTTTAAAACATTTTTCTAGGGCTGGGAAGGTGGCTCAGTGGTAGAGCACTTGTCTTGCATGCATGAGGCCCTGGGTTCCATTCCTCAGCACCACATAAGCAAAACAAAAAAAGCCGGAAGTGGCGCTGTGGCTCAAGTGGCAGAGCACTAGCCTTGAGCTGAAGAGCTGAGGGACAGTGCCGTGCCCATGCCCAGAGTTCAGGCCCCATGACCGGACCCAAAAAAAATAAAATAAACATTTTTCTAGTAAGCACAAAGCCCTGAGTTCAGTGGCCCACACTGCCAAAAATTGCTGGGTACCAGATGCTCATGGCTCATGCCTGTAATCCTGTTCATTTTCTCAGTCAGGAAACTCCTATCTGTAATAAACTAGTCAGAAAAAGGAAGTAGCACTGTGGTTCAAGTGGTAGAGTGCGGGCTGAGAAGGTGGCTCAATGGTAGAGCACTTGCTTTGCATGCATTCGATTCCTCAGCACCACATAAGCAGAAAAAAAAAAAGCCAGTGCCTGTGGTTCAAGTGGTAGAGCACTAGCCTTGAGCTGAAGAGCTAAGGGACAGCGTTCAGGCCCATGACCGGACCCCCCCCCCAAAAAAAAAACAGCTGTCTTGTCAAGTGGTAGAGTACTAGTATTGAGCAAAAGAAGCTCAGGGGCAGTGCCCAGAACCAGAGTTAAAGCCCCAAGACTGACATAAAAAAAAAAAAATTGCTAGTGGCTCATGTCTATAATCCTAGTTACTCAGGAGGATCTCAAGAGTAGCTAAGTCTGAGGATCTCAGTTCAAAGCCAGCTTGGGCAGGAAACAGACACCAGTGTCTCATGAATATCATCCTAGCTATTCCAAAGTCAACCCAGGAAGAAAAGTCCAAGATACTCTTTTTTTTTTTTTTTTT